TTTTTTTTTTTTTTTTTTTTTTGGCAGGACCGGGGATTGAACTCAGTCCCTTGAGCTTGACAGGGAAGTGCTTATTCCACTGAGCTATGTTTCTGGCCCTAAAATTCATGAATTTTCTAAGTTAGGGTAACTGCTACAGACAAAACCTAGGTAGCAAAATCCAGTATGTGGTTTGGTAAAGAAGAGCACTTTCTTTTGTGCTTAAAAAAGGGATGTCACAAAGGTTTTCTCCAGACATCTTTAAGGAATTAAGACATCAGCACATGCTTATCCATGCTATATCTATTAAACATCTGAATTATAGGTTACATCCTAGCAGTTGCCCAATTATCAGTTTCTAGTATTAAAATAATGTATGTCCTCAGCATTCTATAGTTCAGAAGTGTGCAAGTTCTAAAATAAAGCAACAGTTTATTTTCTAGAAGGGCCAAATCAGTTCTGGAGAGAACAAAACACAGTCTTTTGTTTTGCACACTCTTCAGACTGACCTTTGTGCTTGAGGTAGGCTGGAGTTTTTAGCACACATGTATGGATAAAAATGAAATTTCAATGTTCATGCCCCAAAGTTAATAATAAACCTTATATTTCAATGAGGAATATAACCATTTTTCCTTTTCCCACTACCTTACAATAATGTTATTCTTCTTCAAAATGTCTCGGCAAATCTGTTTTTTAAGCTAGAAAAGTTAATGAAGCAGCTGGCCAGAAGATGGACCCAAGCCAGGTCCCACATCCCAAACACTCTGCCTCAACAGCATGTGAACACGATGCCCACCCTCCTCCTGCTCTCCAACAGAAGCAAAACAAAACCCTGCAAGACAGTCATCCACCGGAATTCAGACGCCTTCCAGGAGCAGAAAGACACATGCACAGCCCGGCTAAGGCACAATACAGAGGCCCTTTCAGGCAGTGTTCTGAGCACAGACAGCACAAGGGCTTCCCGGGAGACACTGCCTCCAGGAGCGCCAGGAGATCACAAGTTCAAAACAAATCGTCCTAACAAGGTCAAGAGGAATCTGCCCAGTTCCAAAGTAGCCAAGTGAAATTCTTAAAACCAGTTTATCTTGACAGCTTAACATACTTTCAGACCAGTCTCAGAAAATTATTTGGTAGAAATGAAGCCAAATTTGTGCTGTCATGGGAACCTGCTAATTTTAAAAAACTATTATAAAGTGACATTTTGTGTGTTACATTTTGTTGCACTTCAATTCTCTCTCACATTTTTTAAGGCAAAAAGAAGGAAGAAGCAAATACAATTATGAATGCAGCAATTAGTTAACAAGGAAACTCAAATTTTAACAGTGAAATTTAGGAAAGCAACTATGCTTCAGAACATTCCATCACTTAGTCTTTATGGCTACAGGATTATAGGTACTGTCTGGTGGCAATCCAAAATGCCATCATTTTAGAATTCTAATTCTAGAATAATGAAGACAAATTAGATGCTACATTATGGCTTCATTCACAAGTATCAAAAATGTCTGTGACTTTATTTACTACAAAAGTATCTCCCAAATGGTATCTGGGCACCTATACACGTTCCTTCACAGAACAGAGAGACAAATACATACCTTAATGTCAAAAATACTTGTTTTGCTTCTGAGTTAAAATCACCAAGTGGCAAATTTTCATCACCCACAAAGTATCTTCATTAATCAAGTTGAAAACTAAAGTTAGACCACAATCACAATTTCTATAAGTAAGAAATCGAAATTCTGGGCCCCACTCTGGAAAATGCGTTCATAATCATAAGAGTATGAGTAGCAAATTAATGAACTCTTCTTCTTAGTATTTTCTTTATTTTCAATCAATGGCAGTTCTGTATGTAGTACACATACATAGATAAAAGGAACTATATGAATGGGTTGGATACAGAGTCCTGACCATGCCTTGCTTGGGATGCGGAGGGCAAGCGTGGCCCAGGATAAGGGGCAGACAAGGAGTCTGTGCACTAAAAACATTCCGAGACAGACAGCAGCAGGTGGGCACTTACCACTGGAGCAGTTGGTCCCACCCCAGCCAGGCTCACACTGACAGGTGTTTGGAGCGATGCAGCGGCCATGGACGCATTTATCAGCACAGTGAGCTGTCAGGGAGAAAATCAATCAAATAAAGAAAGTCGGCATGAGAAAAAAAGTCAACAACACAGCTGTTGCACATCCTCGGCTCAAGTGTCACTTAAAAACAACATGCATGCTTGATAATTTTCTTCAATCCTCTTCTCAGCCCTCTTATAGTCCGTTGCATAACCAAACAATTCCCCCTCTTATTTTGTTATCGCCACATAAATTCCTGCTGTTCTACTGTTTAATTCTATGTCATGCTAAATTAGGGGGGAAAGTTTCAAGGAAAATTTCCTAACTTTTATTTTTAAAAACTTATCAATATGTATCCCAATATATTCTTTTTTTCTTTGAAAGGAACCTAGGGGAACAAATAAACCACAAAGAATACATCGGGACTCCAGAGTGACAGAGTGGACTAAGAGGTAATTCTCTTTATGTAATACAGTCACCAGGAAGAGTAGTCTCCGTTCTTTGTGAACAAAGTCTTCATAACTATGACTCAGAAGAACTGCATACCCTTTTCCTGTTGAAGGAAATATCTGAAAAATGGCACGTAGGTCTTTGGGGAGTACTGCATCTCAGTCCTTCCTCCTTATCACTGTTTCAGGTGTGAGCCAGCGCGTGGAGGAAAGGGTTGTCACTGTGCATGCAACCGGATGGGCACTGTAAGGACTGGCTGGCAATGCAGGGTTCAGCTGGCTGACAAAAAAGGGCACCAAAAGTATCTGACACAAAACAGTAGCGTGGCCTTCCACATGAGTGCCTCTCACACTGGCTACACACTCTGCAAAAATACCTGATACTCGAGTACTGTAATTGTGAGAGCAACTTGCAAGGGTTCAGATAATTAAAAATGTTATTTAAGTAGAAGTAAGGTGCTGGGACTTAAGACCTATTTTGTAGTTAATGTCTTATTATAAAAGCAAAACAGATTTACTTCCCCAATGCATAAAATACCAATAATTTATATGAACCTTATCTTTAGTGCTACTAGCTAGTAACATTCTGTGCATGTCGAAATTTTTGGGTTTTTTCCTATAGATTTTTCTTTTAAAAATTATTAACTTAATTTTCCAATTACTTCTTCTTTTTGGTCTTTTTTGTGACAGGGTTTCACTCTGCAGTGAAGACTGGCCTTGAACTCATTTTGTAGCCCAGGCTGGCCTCAAACTTGAAACAATCCTTCTTCAGCCTCCTGAGTGGTGGAATTACAGGCATGTGCCACCACAGCTGGCTTCATTGCTTTCCTACTCCATACAATGGAAAAAATATTTTCATGTCATTGAATATTTCCTTAAAATGTACCCACAATTGTATGTATAGTGTACATATATACTATATATCATCTATAACTATCTATATCTATGTATGAAATTATGATGCTGTCACTTCTAAAATTTAAATCTTAGACAAAAAGAGAAATAAGGAAAAGGCATTCCAGAGGAAGAAAAACCAACTGGTAAGGAGATAACAAAAAAGGAAATAAATGAACCTGAATTCTGTTTAGGTGTAGCAATTTGGGCAATAGGAAAGGTACAAAGAGACCTAAAACAAATTTAAAATGTTTCTGCTTTATTCTGAGAATTAAGAATCATGTAATGAAAAGTGTAAGGTACCACCAGAAATGATCAGGTTGGAGACCCCACAAGAAAATAGGCTGACTCTAAATTACAGGAAATACAGGCTCACTTGCTGTCACCTGAATCATTCTTTAGCACCCCGGTAATTTTGTGAAGGATACCAGGCCTGGAGAGCTTAGAATTGTGGTCAGAATCCCAAGAACTCTATGGAAGTACTTGACGACCTTGTAATATTTGATTCAGACAACTACAGACTGGGTTGCAATTAAAGTAGAATCTGCTCATGCCCCCATGAACACATGGGCCTCCCTCACTCTGCCAAGTGCCCGCCTCAGGGCTGGTTGTCTGAACTTGTAGACGGTATCCATTTGTGAAGCCGTAGCTCTCTGTAGTTTCTTTAAAATTTAGGTAAAGCTGGCACATAGGTAAAGCTGGTAAACTACCACACTCCAGCATGCAAGGCACAGAGGAAGCCCACAGGTGCAGTCAGGGGCTTAACAGTGTGGGACCAGCCCCAGACACCACACTCCGTGTGCCACACAGCTAGGTGTGCACATGAGGCTCTCCCCGCACAGCGCTGGGTTCACTGGAAACTAGGCAGCAACATAACACTCTCTCGTGCGTTCTAATGGCATCTAGGTCGGAACCACATCATCAGTGATCACTTTGGCAACATCTCGTCCTTCTAGACACTAGAGTTGTTCAAAATTCTGCTTACGCATCTTTAGAAGTTTTAAAAATTAGACATGATCTTTTATGCAACACAAGACTTCTTCGACACTGTGAATTTAAATCAAAACAGAAATTGGAGGTGGTGGCTAATGAAAGAAGCACCATCCATGTCTTCTAGTTTCAAATTTTTGCATTTATTTAATAATGTTATTCTCCCCCCCCCACCCCACCCCAAGGTACTGGAGATTGAACTCAGGACCTTGTGCTTGCCAGGCCTCAATAATGCTGGGTCTTTTTTTTTTTTTTTTCCTTTTAGGGAAGGGTGTACAGGGTGTTCAGGGTCTCACTATTAGATCAGCCTCATAGTGACCCACCTGTTTACAGCCTCTCAAGAGCTGGGATTACAGGTGCACACCGTCATACCCAGTCTCAGTCACCAGGGGTGAGGCCGGCACAGCAGGCCTAAAAAATGCTGTTCTTGCCAATTAATTTCATACTAAAGAAATAGCATAAAGTTTATGTATTAAGGTAAATTTATATTAGAATTTCCCTTTGTTTTTTAAATCTTAGAAACCCATATGAATCTGTAGGAGAAAAAACATAATTCTACTACTTGAGAATTTTAAAACCTCTGGGTTCCTGAGACACCAGACTCAATGGAAGCAACTGGGTTTTTTATTTGTCTGGGAACACACCAGCTATGGAAGACTCAGCATACTCACTAGAGAGGCAGTCATTCTTGTTCCTCTTTCTTCTCTTACTTTTTATTTCGTCTTTCTTTTCATTTTGTACTATCAACCTTCTTTTTTTCTGTCACAAACTACATCTTTGATAGGCACAGTTACCAAAGATACTTCAGATTAAAATTTGATTTTCATTATAATTGTGTTGCCTTTTAGCCATCTGAAGAGTGACCTCAGATGGTTTCTGCTACGCCTCCTGAATCCACTAATGAGAAAGGTAAGACCAAGCAAACACCCACAGCAATTTTGTCCCACTACAGAGAGAATGTTTTTTGGAAATAAGTAAACAAATGTCTATATTCCAGAGGGCTAGGAATCAGAACTGCTTATGCTTGGATCTCAGTTCAGGGTTTTTGTTGCTCTTATTTTGTTAGTTCTAGAAAAGGAGGGTAATTTCTATGTGCAGACTTAAAGAATACCTGCTTTACAATACCAAAATATTATACAAATAGTCTCATGTTTGGTTGCTGATAATGTAAAGTTTGTGATTTTATGAAAGGAATTTCGAGTAATCAGTTATAGCAAATGATAAATAATCCTGTGATTGTAGTTTTTAAATCTGAATTATGTTTGTTAAAACCTTGAGCTAACATTTGGCCAAAGTCTGATATTAATTGTGGACGGATCCTTGGAAGAAAGTAAATTTGCTTGAAAGTTAATTAGGAACTGGGGGAGGAATCTGCTTTCCTAATTGCTGCTTTCTCCTTAAAGTTCAGGGCAGCTCAGGCAGACACAGGGACTGGGGTTCCATTCCTGGCTTGCCGTGCTGGCCCCGCCCCCTGGGGTACACTAAGCCTGCAATTGAGACTGGGCATGGTGGTGTGCCCCTGTAATCCCAGCACTTGGGAGGCTGAAAACAGGAGAAGCACTACAAGTCCCATCTGTGTAGTGAGACCCTGAACTAAATACATTAAAAAAAAGGAAGAACACAAAATTCTGCTTCCATAATGTGGAAGTTTCACATAGTACTGGCCCTGTTCTTCAAGTGCCATCTTTGCTCCATGTTCTTTTCCACCATCTCTGGATTCTGTGTCCAGCCATAGCCCTTACCCAGTGTAGGGATCTGTTGGTCTTACTGCGAACAGTTGTACCCGGGGAAACTCAGCAGCAGGAATGAGAAAGACAGGAAGACAAAAGCTGGGCCAGGTGGTAGGTAGTTTGCCCGATGGGCAAGACTCACACCAGCACGATGAAACTTGTGTTTATTTATACCTTTTGCAAAGTTACTAACACACGACACAAAGTTACCTGGCAACTAATAGCTAACCTTAACCAAACAAGATGTTTATCTCAAAAGTGAGGTGGCTTGTTTGCTGTAGGCACTGAGGCCCGGTTCCATTTACACACATTTGATCCATTTCCTAGCTTCCTGCAGCTCCCAACAACCCAGCACCTACACTATGGCCAGTAGCTAAGAGAAGCAACATGAGAGAGCAGCACAAACCACATCTCTCTCCACTTCCTCTGAGGTCCCAATCCACCATGGGGCAGAAACACTGACCATCGCATGCCTGGCATCACAGCCCTGTCTGGAAAGTCAACGGCCCTAGGATGGAGCCGCCAAGGGCCTGGGAGCACATGCCTCAGTTTTATTGTGACTACTGCAATACACACCTCACCCATGACTCTCCATCTGTGAGAAAGACACACTGCAGTGGAAGGAAACATAAAGAAAACGTGAAAGACTACTACCAGAAATGGATGGAAGAGCAAGCTCAGAGCCTGACTAACAAAACAACGGCTGCATTTCAACAAGGAAGGATACCTCCTACTCCATTCTCCACTCCTCCTCCAGCAGGGGCTATGATCTTACCCCCACCCAGGTCCTCCTCACCCTGGTAAGATGCCAGTACCCCATGTGGGAGGCCCTCCCATGATGCCAATGATAGGCTCACCCTCCTCCTGGGATGCCAGTGAGACCTGCTCCTGGAATGAGGCCACCCATGGGAGGCCACATGCCGATGATGCCTGGGCCTCCAATGATGGGACTGCCGGCTCAGCCCATGATGGTGCCCACTTGGCCAA